TATTAAATTTTAATTTAGGAAAATAATATTAAAATTCCTTTAAATTATATAAATAATATTTTTATTTTTAAAATACCATAATTCTCCTAAAGTTTATAGAGACTCTTATGTCATTAAGAAAATAATATAAAATCTTAAGCCTCAGAACAAATACTTGCAAATTTGTTAATTGCTGTTGAATTCTTGCAATTTTAGAAAGAAAAATTATGAATATTAAAATAATACTTATGAATGGCAATTGATATTTGCAATACTCAAGGAATATCAGGATTTGAAATGCAAACTTATGAATTGTTGTTAAATTCTTGTGAATTTAAAAAGAAAAGTTGTGAATCTTAAAACAAAATTTATAAATAACACTTTTGATATTTGCAATATTTAAAAAATATCAAAATTTTAAATACGAACTTGTAAATTGCTATTGAATTTTTATAATTTTAGAAAAAAAATTGTAAATTTTAGAACAAAACTTGCGAATCAAGGGCGCAAAGTGTCTGTTATGAGGCTTAGGATTTTTATTTCAATCAAAGGCAGTTTGGACTTTTATATTAATTACTTAATGACAGAAAAATATTTAAGGGCTTTAAAAAAATTATGGCATTTTAAGAGGTCAAATGTCATTTACATAATTCAAAAGAGATTTTCTTATCATTTTTCCTTTTAACTTTGATTGCTAAAGAAAGAAAGTAAATCTTATTGCCCATTTGGTTCATTTAATCAAAGGTAATGAGGTGAAAATAGAAAATGGAATGTAATGTAAAGTTGTTTACATAAGTTTGTTTGGTACGACATGATGAGGAGTAAAAATAAATTTCTTTTTATATTTAATTTAATATCAATATAAATTAAAGAGACTAAAATAACGTTTTTCCCCTTCTCTCTCGTGTACCTATTCTTCTTTGCCTTCACCTTCACCCTATTTCTTTCAATTCCTCCCTCCCTTTCATATGGCTCACCTTTTGTTTAGAGTAAAATTAGTTAGAATCATGCTTTTCTATCACCCATGTCTCTCTCTCCCCCCCCTCTTTCCTTTGTCCCTCCCTTCTCATGTCATAGTAGATCTGATTCAACATTGCAAATTTGAGTTCATTGTGAGAGGAGATGGAGATGTAGATCTGATAAGAGCAGTTTGATAGAGGCATCACTGGTGATGCTGATGCCATCGGCGATGGTGGAGAGCTTTGGCAATGAAAGAGGTGGGTGAAGGAAGAAGTTGAAGCAAAGGTATAAGTGTCTGTTACAACTATGCAATTCCTATTACATCAATCTAGTGATGTGATCTTGATTACAGTATATGAGGTAATCTTGAACCCCTTAGATATCTTTAGGCCACAAAAATATAAGTCAACGAAAGAGAGCAACATTTTTAAAGTTAATAATTTATACAGATTGAGTTTATTTGAATCAGGCATAAATTATCTCAACATATAAAAAAGTATTATAGTCAAGTTTATCTTTAACACATCAAGCTTCTAAGCTTATTCAAGATGGTTTGAAAACCTTAATTGTTAAAATTATTTTATTTTTACTTTTAATCAATTTCATTTTTCATCTCAAAAACATTAAGATTTTTTTATTTTTCTAATTTTAATGTTATTTTACTAATAATAAAAAAGAATTGGTCTATTCAGGCTTAGCCTATTTTGGTTTAAGCTTGGCTTAAATTTCTTTGAGCTTATTTGGGTGGCTCAAATAAGCTTGGAGTAATTTTTTTCTTCTAAACTCCTAATTCTAATCCTAAGATTTTTTAAGGTTTATTTGTTTGACCCATCAAATTTGACCTAAATTATCAATTCTAACCTTCCGCAATCTATTAAAATAACTTAACATTGACTTTCCAGTTTTAAGGATATAACTTAACAAATTGAGAAAAGTTTGATTATCTTATAAAGTTAGTGGATATTCATATACTATTTTTGACTTAGGAATACTAGAAGCTCCAGAAGATTTTTTTTTTTAGCATTTTTACACACTATGTTTGCTTCTTCTTTTTTTTTAACAGTCATTAGTAACGAGCATTAGTCAAATTTAATAGTTCAAGGAAGGATGCCTTCATTAAAAAGAGTTTATAGGCATTTATATACCTTTGTTGACTTTAGATACATTATGCTTTTGGTGAAAGAGTTTCTTGATATTTTTGCCATTTAGCAAAAGAAAAAAACCTCTTTCAACTAGTTGAATGTAGATTATTAGTTTATCACAGGATAAATGAGTAAATCACTCCTTAAGTTTTAGGTCAAATAACATAGTAGACCTTGAATTTATTTATTGTACAAATTATTTTTTTAATTTTTAAAAACAGTGTAATCTAATCTTTGTCATTAATAAAAGTTACATTTGTCTTTTTTTGTAATTACAATAAAAAAACTAAAAAATTACAGACAATGATCCAAAAAAAATAAAAAAGGATAAATTTTTTTGGACATTTTCTATAATTTTTGAGGTATTTTTTTAGTTAACGAATGGTTAGAGTTAACTTTTGCTAATACTAGGGACTAAATTGTACCATTTTTAAAAGTTAAAGGAATAATTTATACAATAAATAAATTTATAGTATATGATGCTATTGGAACTAAAATTCAGGAAATAAGTTGCTTATTTACCTTTTATTATAAATTAGAATACTTGAGCGAGTCTGGCAAAAAAATTAGTTTTTCATAATGTGATGGACATGATTGCTTCTATTTAGTGCCAATCGGTGCCTTAGTAATAATATACTTACAAGTTACAATTGCATTTACTTAGTTCACAATTTGTCAAAAAAAAAAAAAAGTTCACAACTGATATAGTTTATTTCTATAAATAAGTAATCTCTAAAATTACAGTTACTTTTAATCAAAGTTTTATTATTATCAAACATTATTACTCTATCCAATTTTATTTATAAATTACTTTTAGTATATTCATTTTAATCTAAGAAAATATTAAAATTTATTAACTCTCTTTCAAATTTAATAAGTTTTCAATTCTTGCATTGTTAAATACACACACTTTAATAACATCATGTCTCTCATTAATATTTAATAAAGATTAAAAATTTATAATAAAATGTTATGAAATAACAAAAAAATTATTATTTTAATATTGTAAAAGAGATGATGGAGAGTGTTTTACATTACATGATAACCGAAATTTAAATGAAAATGATCCAATTTCAAAACATAAATAATATTATATTTTTATTTATTTTTTTATAAAATGTCAGAAGAAAAAGATGCACATGTGAAAATTCCTTACAAAAGGTTGCGCTTTATTTATCTTTCTACTATTTTTTTCTAATGTACTTCACGCTATTTGTTTTATATTTTAAGAGGATGTTTTCCATTGAATGGTTTTAAGAAGCTATATCTTTTTTATTTGATCTTTTAATTGATGATCTAAGAGTTGTTAGAATTTTTGCTTTTGATTGTCACTGGAATAAAGTTTGAATTGGTTAATTGTTTCTAATATGTTTTCTTTGTTGTTGTTTTCATTGTTTTTTCTTTTTGGGTAAGTTTTGTGTGATAGGTTATATGTAAAGGTTAGAAACGGGTGAGCTCGGCCTTTATAGGCCCTTAAGCTCGATTTGAGGTTTTTCATTTTTATTCCTTTTTTGAGATTCGGTTTTTATTTGAAGGGCTCAGGGCCAGGCCCGTTAGCCCTGTTCTGAAAAAATTAAAATAAAATTAAACACTGTAAATTAATTAAAATATTTTAAAATAAAAAAATTAAAATCCTCATAATTTTTTAAAAATTAAACAATACACATTTAGAAGCTTAGTAATAAAACTCAAATCTTGGTGAACAAATATTTCATTTTTTAGAAATACACAAACTTAATAATTATCAAAAAATATAAAATATAAAAAATTTTATATTGTACTGTGATATTTATTAAATTTTTTAAAATAAATTAAAATTAATAATATTATAATGTGTGTAGGGTTAAGACTTCAGGCAAGTAGGTCCTTCGCTTTAGATACATGTTTCACTAAAAAATAATAATAATAATGTAACAGAGCTTGAAGGGCCACTCGGGCCCGAGCCCTTTTTTATAGGGCTTATCAAAGCCAAGCCTACAAATCTAATTATTTAAAAAAAATATTTTTAAAACTTAAACCCTTATTTAAATATGACTTTCAAGCTTGATCTTTTAGGCGTAGCCCTTATTCCCGCCTCTATTTATATGTAGATTTTTTTTGACCTTGGCTATTAGTGTGTGTGTTATTTTTTTTGTGATTAATGAAATGGGCTCTTTTATAAAAAAACATAAATAAATGGTAGTAATTTTTAATTATTAAAAAAACCACTATGTTTTTCTTTATTTTTATTTATAAGTAAAATTACAAATTTTAAAAAATTTATCATATTTTTTAAATTGTACGTACATCATAAAGTTAGTGTTTTTTTTTTCACCACACAAATTTATTTCATTAATTGTAAGAATAATTTAATTCAATTTTTAAAAATTTTAAACATAATTATTATATTTAATTAATTTTTTTAAATTGCGTGAGCATTTTAATTTTTTATATATATTTAAAAATGGAAGAAGTATTGTACTACTTGCCCTCACTTTAATTTTTTTTTTTTACAACTTCAAGGAAGATCTTCAAACTGCCACGTGGAAGCAACAACATTCATCTCATGTTCCTGTATGGTCTATGGAATCTAGATTAAATTTAATTAATCTCATAATCACCTTTTGTATTAACTCCAACACAAAAGGACGACCCGGTCAAATCCCATAATCTCTTCTTGACCTTGATGGCTTTCTTACCACAAGTACGACAGAGGGTGTTTTAGTCTTTTTCCTAATTCTTTTCCGGAGGCTAAATCTAACTGAACTTGTTCCTTAACTCACTTATTAAACATCTTCTAGTAAGTTGAAATAATTAAATGAACGTAACATTAACTTTTTCCCCGTTCAATTTTTAAGGAAGTGTAGTAGTTAGAATAATAACAAATTTCAGGGAGATTATTTTCGTTGATATCTGCGATGTTTGGCGCGTACACAAGCAAACCAACAAACTGTCAGACCAATAAGAGAAGTCTCAAAGTGAGGCATCGGAGGAGAGATCGAAGATTAACGCTTTGAAACTGAAAGGAAGTGAGAGAGACTAGAGAGAGAAGGAGACGAAAACTAGTAGCAGAGACGCTGTCGTTCTCTCTCTCTCTCTCTCTCTGCGTGCTTGTGACTGTGCGTGTGAGAGTTCAAAACAGCCAGACAATCCAACCCGTTTCTCTATCTGAGACGCCCCCATTTGATCGGAGCCCCTCATTCTCTGTGCCAAATTACTGTGTAGTTGGCTCCCGTCCCGTTTGGTCTGGTCCGTACAATGGAACGGTACGGCCGGGCTAGCGGCGAGTCGCAGTCCGATCCATCGCTGGAATGGACTGGAACCGGAGGCGAAACGGGTCTTGAAGGTCGGTGGGTCTGCCTCTGCATTCTGAATTTATTTCCTTGTTTGACAGGATTTCGGGTTCTGCTATGGTGATTTGTGGTTTTAGCAGAATGTGGTTTGTAATATACTGAGTTTGATCTTGATTTCACAAATGCAGAATCTGTGAGGCAATTGGGATTGGTTGGTGGGGAATCGTATCCACAACGGCCCGATGAGGCTGATTGTAACTACTATTTGAAGACAGGGTTTTGTGGGTATGGCTCGCGGTGTCGGTTCAATCATCCCCCTGACCGTGGCCCGGTAAGTTTGTTGTAGTTGATTACCGGACGACTTTTAATATTAAAGGACATCTTTGGTTTTTGATGTGATCGTTCGCTTCAGTTTGGTTTGATATTTGTTATGACTCATGAGCGGAACGTAAGATTTGAGTTCACAACATCTTAAAGGTTTTCATTGCTGGGGTTGCCTTCGGGCTATGGCTTTTCAAGATACTGTTAGGATCATTACAAAATCAACTAAATTTACTCAACTGAGACTAAAATGTTTGCATTTGACAATCTGGCTGGACCTTTCATAATTTGGTGATAACTGATATATATCTATGTCTTGTTTAGGTTTTTGGAGCTTCGAGGACTGGCATGGAGTATCCAGAGCGAGTAGGCCAGCCTGTATGTCAGGTACTCGATCTGGTTCTGCCTATATATGCTCTGGGAGAACATTATACATGATTGCTTTTGACATTGTCATTCATATTGGTCATACAAAATTTGATACTCAGCAGTCATTTGTATATCCTAAGGGGGGAGTAAAGTTTAGCTATACTTTGCCTAGTCTGTCTTCAAAATTGATCGCTGGCCTTTAGTATTAATTAAATCTACTTACTAAAAATGCAGTATTATATGAGGACAGGATCTTGCAAATTCGGTGCTTCATGTAAGTACCACCATCCTAGGCAGGGAGGAGGCGTTGCTCTTGTATCACTTAATTGTTATGGATACCCATTTCGACCGGTTTGTACAACATTATATTCACCACATACTGTTTCTATCTTTTAAATATTGGATTGATATTTTCTAACCATGGCAAGAGTTTGTCCCAAACTTACATTTTACTAATACAGGATGAGAAAGAGTGTTCGTATTATGTGAAAACAGGACAATGCAAGTTTGGTGCAACTTGTAAATTCCATCATCCACAGCCTGCTGGTGTTCAAGTTCCTGCACCTCTATCAGTTCCCCAAGTCTCTTCTCTACCTGTCCGAGTACCTTCATCGTTCTATCCAACTGTGCAGCCTCCATCTGGTCCTTCATCACAACAATATGGTGTAATGGTTGCAAGACCACCTCTACTACCAGGGTCATTAGTCCAAAGTCCTTATGGGCCTGTGGTAATGTCCCATGTCCCTTTTTCAGGTTGGAATCCTTATCAGGTGGGTCAAACTTTTCCTCTGACAGCTTCAGCAAATTACAAGTGCATTTGTTTATGTTTTTAAGCTCTTGACACAGGCTCCTACAAGCCCTGCAATTCCATCTAGTACTCCATCAAATGTTGGTTCAACACACCTTTATGGGAATACTCAGCTACCTTCATCAGCACCTGCCTATACTTCACCTTATCAACCTGCAGGTTCCGCATTTGGTCCCTCAAACACTAGTCAGAGAGAACAACATTCATTACCAGAAAGACCAGGTCAGCCAGAATGTCAGCATTACATGAGAACGGGAGAGTGTAGATTTGGTCCTTCCTGTAGGTATCATCATCCACCTGAATTGGTTGTACCAAATGTCAATGTGGTCCTTAGTCCTGAGGGTCTTCCTCTGCGCCCGGTAACTACTGTCCCTCAATTCCTTTTCCATGATGCCTCATGTTGGATTATGAATTTAATTTTCTGCCTTTTCTATCAATCTGGGTAAAACTTTTTCATTGTCCAATAACCAGTGATGAAAATTTTTATGCAATTTTTTTCCGTGGGAAATTTATGTGCAATTTTGATACATACAAAATTGACTTTTTATTGTTGCAACATGTTATATGGTTTCTTTATGCAAGATTTGAAGTTTGCTCCACAGATATACTATTTTTGGTTTTTAAACTCTAGTCATTGACAACAAACTAGAGTAGAATTCCACTTGGTTGCTATCCCTTGTTCTTGAGCTGTGATTTAACCTCAGATGTGTTTTTATCGATATTCAAGTGTATTTTCTTAGAAACTGAGGTCCAATTTTCCCAAAGGGGCAAGTTCTACCAGTACATTCCTCTTTGAAACCCTCCATTGTTGATAGATACCCTGACTTGGATGAACCATGAAAGCCTGAAACTTTCTGTAAATATTTTTTAATGTGGCAACTCATAAGATAATACTGAGTTATGGCATTGAGACACAGATCATTGAATGGTGCTCCGTCGCACTTTGTTGCCGCACTAGATTTCAATTGAGTTCTTCTACACCACTGCTGGGGAATTGGGGAATTCCTTCATTAATGTATTAACTGTGAAGGGATACTCTTATACCTTCATGAAAGCTTCTGACAACCATTTCTTACATGTTTCTTGTTCTCTTGGGGGTCAATTAATTATTTCTTCTTATTCTTGACCTTCAATTAATTACAAATCTTCATATTTTTTGCTATTACTTTCTGCTAAACTATAGAGATTCTTTCCTATATTTATCATAGGGATTCTGCTCCTCTAAAGTGCAAGGTGCGTTTAAGAAAATAAAAGTGTAGGCAGGTTACCATTGATGAGATAATCTAAAGAGCAAACAACCTTTCTCTTTTGTTCAAACATAATATAGTTTCTCTCAGTAGTTGGCCTTCATAAAATTGCATTAAGCTTTGCATATGATTCCTATTGATAACGGGGTAAAAATCCTATACCCCCTCTCGTGTCTTTATGTAATGGTATGATCAAATCATACTTCTGATGATTTCATGCTGATGTGTCACTAAACTTTAGACTGTAAATGTCATGCACATGTCAAGTTCTTGCATGCTCATTGTCAGAAATATTTACATGACAGGCCTAAACACAAAATGTGTAATCCTTTAATATATAAGCCAACATACAGAGTATCTGCTTTTAGATATAATTATCACTTACATGAGTATATAACTGGTCATTAAAATTTTTGAAATTTGTGTTCTCTGCAGTATAATATACTGCACTGTTTTTGCAAATTGTAACGGCCTTCTGATTTCTATTCAGGAGTTCTAAAAATTGTAGGGGATCTGAATTGATTGGTTTTCTATTTCCAAAGTGAGATTTTTCAGTGTCTTTGGACCAAAATAGGGCTGTCTCAAGCCTTATTTGTCAACATTTCAATCTGCAGATTATTTTGGCTTTTTAGCAAACTGCTTACTTGACAGTTGATGTGTGGACTTATCTTGGCTTTAAGAATGTATTTAAGAACATTATGATGATAATTTTATTCTGGAATTTGTTTGAGTCTTTCTTATGAATGTCGTCTTCTGAGTCCTCTCTTTTTGTTGGGGACTTGTTTGTATTCAATTGTCTCAGACAAGCTTTTGGATTCCTCACACTGGGTTATATTTCCTTATGTTATATTTGAACTTTCTGTTCTTTGGTTTTAATTTCAAGAGTGTTGTGACTCAATGACAGTCTTTACTAGATTTAAGATAATGTGCTCTATGACAACTTATCCTTGACAATTGGTAGAATTAACTAATATAAAGCATGTATCTAGGAGCAAGTAATTGAGGTTCATTTAGGTGAGTGAAAGAAGCTGAATTGGTAGAATTAACTACGGAAATGCTAATAAATAAAATTTTACAAGGCTGAATCTGAGCCTGTTGAAATGCAAACATAGTTGATTAGTTGAATAAAAAACTGTGCCCCGTTTTACTTTTTGGGAGGCTAGGATGAGGTATGAGTCTTAATATCCTTAACAGTCTAGACTCAGCTGTTTCATTTTCCCTTGCAGACTGTCAGAGTCTAAGCTGATTTTGTCTCAAATTGCACAGGTGCTTTACTTCTGTTTAATTTTTTCCCTAGTGTTAGAGTCTGCTCTCATACGGCATATAGTAGAAAGTTCTTTTGTGAAAAGAATAGAAAGTTATATCATGCAATGCCCTTAAGGTTTGTGACTAAAGTTATATCTGTATAAATTATTCATTTGGTTGCTTTATTAATTACTTGCATAGCCTTCCATCTCATGTCAGTGTTTTGATAATCAGGGTGCACCGCCTTGCACTCACTATGTGCAGCGAGGAGTATGCAAGTTTGGTCCTGCATGCAGGTTTGATCATTCTATGGGAACATTGACTTACAGTCCATCTGCTTCTTCTCTTGTTAATATGCCAGTTGTATCCATTCCTGTGGGTTCTTCCATCAGTACTCGTCCTCCATCGTCCTCATCATCAGAGTTGCAGCCTGAACGTAACCCTGGTTCTAGCCGGGAGCCTGGATCATTCAGAATTTCTTCTTCAATGAGCACAGCCACTGGATCAGTTGGCTTGGCTTTGTCAACTAGTGGAAACGTTTCTGAATCAAGTGCTCAAACATCCGCCCAAAGTTCTGTTCCGGTAGCAACTACGACTATCACAACAACCAGCACTGTCTCTCATGCCCCAAGCTAAGCAATGTGAATGCATACCTCCTTTTTATTCCTTTTTATCTCAATTCTTAAAGGAGACATCGTCCTTCTAGGGACTCCTCAAACAGGTTTTGTTTTTCAGTTATCCCTGTTCCCCAGGTCTAGAACACATTAGTGCCTATTATCTTTGGGTTGATAATCTCAGTCTTTTCATGGCCATCCAATTGATCTTGAATAAACCGTGGCCAACCTTGAGAAACTGCATCCATATCTCCAGTTTCTGGAGTTTTTTGCATCCACATCTCCAGTTTCTGGAGTTTTTTGAGCTTATTTATGCTTCAGTTTTCTTTGTCATGAGAGAATTCTGCTCACACTCTCATTGATCATGTGTTTATGTTTCTTCCCCTCAACCCTTCCTTCGAAACACCAAATCTTTTTCACTTTGAGAACTTTTCTTTCCGAATTTTTCTTGGAAGTGGAAGAAGGTTCTGTTGAGTATTGTTCCCATATTTTTGTCTTCGTTTTGGGTGAAGAAATTATGATCAGGACTCAGGAGACAGCAATGAGATGAGGCCTCACGTTGCTATTTTATGCAGGTGCACAGTGATGTGATGTAGAGTGAAATGCTTTATTTGGGATTTAAATTATTTCAAAGTGCAAATATAAGGGAAAGTAAGAAACGCACTTGAACTGACACGTTTGAATCTAATAAATTTTGCTCTCCCCTTGTTATCAGTGTAGAGTACTTTAATCAAAGCATTCACAGGGTTAGGCTATTTCTCTTGGGGATTTGTTCTTCATTTCCCCACTTTTCTTTTCGTCTAAAAATGAAGGTATAGCGAGGTAAATTCAGAGCATCTAATCAAACTTGGGTTAGATAATTATGGACATGTCCTTGAACGAAAACAACCATAATACTTAAATGTTGTGTTTGGATTAGTGGGGATTTGAATTTAGATTTAGATTTAATTTGAACCAAAATCGTTATTGGGATACAGGAAATTTGTATGGATTTGGATTTAATTTTGTTCAAATATCAACAATCTTTTCTTTCTTTCTGCTAGCAAAACACGTGGATGAGTGATGAGTCTTACAAGTATTGCAATTCATTCTTATTGGTGTGGATTTTTTATGCTAAAACAATTTTTTTAAATATATGTATTTTAAATCAAATTTAAATTCAAACTTATCTATCCAAGCGCCACTTGATGTACACTAATACTATAGGAGTTTTGGGTTTTATCTATGACACATAAGACTAGTGCACTGCCAAAGATTTGTATATGTTTGTGGGAATAAAAAAAAAAAAGAATTGAATGATTTTAAACAAATCTTGGTCATCTAAATTATGAGGGAAGTCATTAAATTACATTCAAGAAAACGACTTCACAGAGGTGGTCGGGGGAAAAAGGCAACAAATTCAAACAAAACGACAATAACAAAGAAACTACAATATTAAATTTGTAGCAAATTAAATTGCTTAAGAATCAAAAAATAATACACCACTTTTTTTAAAAAAAATAAAATTTATTTGACACACTCACAGGAGAGACCCACCTAATTTTATACTATATTAAACGTTGAAAAAAAAAAAAACCCAAGAAAAGACCAAGTTGTGATGAGGGAAAGTTTAGTAGGGATCATGTGAGGAGGGAGCTTGGGGTTTGGGAAAGGAAGAGAGAAGTGAAAAGGGACAAAGTTAGAATTGAACCAAAAAGTGAAAGTGATTGATTAAACACTAAACAATTTGTTCAACGTGGTTTGGTTTATGTTCTTTCAAACTCCTATGAAAAACATTATTATCTTTTCCCTAAATTCCGGGCCACCTTAAATTTACACACTTCCACTATGTCTGTCCCTTAAAAATCATAATATTGTCTTATCGTGGAAGAAAATCCCTTGGTATTTGAGAAAATCAACATGCACTCTCTTGTCCTTGTCATAAAAAAAATTAATAATTGTATAGATTAAAAAATTTAATTAAAATTAATTAACGTTTTTAAAATTTAAAATTGCCTTTAATGTGACGGTCATTAATTATAAGAGGTTGTTTAATAATTATGAGGTTATTTATTTCATTTTTTGGTAAACTAATTATGAGGTTATTTACTTACTTAAGGAATATTAAAACAAACCACATTTAAAAAAATAAATTATCATACTTTAGACAATAGAGTGTTATATTGAGAACCATCAAAAAGGTTTTTCCTTATAATAGAGTCTGAAGTGAGTATAATTTATCGAAAGTCATATTATTCATACACTTTATGAATAATAAAACTTACCTTAAACTCTGTGTTTTTAATAAAATGTTCCCTCCAGTTTTATACTTTTATTTACAAAAGAGTTGATTCTTAATATAAAACCTTTTACAAAATTAATGAAATATTTGCAACTCATTTCAAAAAATGTCTTTATCTATTTTATTCTTAGCTTAGATAATGACTTTTCTATCTTCCCCCCCCCCCCAATGTTCTATATCAATAGAAGATTGAATACTAACTTTAAAAAGTTGTAAAAATTTAAAATATTTATATGATTATGATTAAAATAATGATAGTTGATTGGAAACAAACGAAAAAATATGGTATTTGAAACACCATTATAATCCAAAATTTTTATAATTAATATATGTTCCACGCTACATGGAATCTCGAAAATACGTTTCTGTATTCATAACTTATTTTTAAAAAATAAATCATAAAATGAACATAATTTTAAGCGATAAAATTCAAAAACAATAAAATCAAAATATGCAAATTAGTGTGAAGAATAAAGATTGAAACCTAAAGGTCTTGGCGTATTTTTCTCAAATAACAGTTCGGTGCTACTATGAGCATTGTGATATACTCTCCCCCTTAAAATATTTTTTATGAGATAAGATGATAAAAATTAGTATTTTTGTCGTTTTAAATTATAAAATACTTTTAAATAAAATTTTATTTTTTAATAAAGCTCATTAAATACACTTTATAACCTCTCTTTTTCAAGAAAAAAACATAAACTTTTAAAAATAACCTTCATTTAATACTCCATTAATGAAAGAATATTGAAGAGAGAAAATATATAAAATGATAATATTAAAAAAGTATCATTAATAAAACTTTATTTTTATCAAAGTAAATTATATTTTAGAATACTGAATCTTTTCTAAAGGTGTGTTTGGTTGGGGGATTTTAGAGGTTAAGAATTTTTGGAGGGGAGGGGAGCTAAATTTTTTGACTATTTTGCCTTTATTTATTTTTTAATATTCTAAGTATATTCATAGCTAAAAAAAATTCCCTCATATTAGATTGTATTTCACTCCCAGACTTTAACTGACTTCATCAGATTTTTTAAAAAAATTACAATTTATCATATTTTATTATATGTTTAAGAGAGTTATTTAATTTTTTATAAATTATTATCATTATAATTATTGATTTAATTTTTTTATTCATATATTGACAATATAATAGGATGAGAGTGAATTTAAAAAAAAAAATATGTAATTTAAATTGAGGTATAAAATTATTTTCTACAAGAAACAATTAAAAAAATTTTAAATTAATATATAAAGATATAATAATAAATTAGTCATTGCCTCCCCTCCTAAACTAAACAAAAGATTATTAAAAGCCTCTCCCTTTACTCCAACAACACCAAACAAGATAATATTAAAATCCTCCCCTCTCATCCCCTTCCCTTCACTCCTTTCTCCTTAAAGTGTTTTATAGTTTGAGATTGAAGGAGTAAAAGATATTTTGAGCATTGCAATGTGAAGTTAATAAGGTTTTTCTAAAAAAATATCTTTAATTAAAAATGTAATTATAACAGAGTTTTCTAACTGAGATACTATATTAAATAGAAATAGACATAAAAAATATATGATTTTAAAAATAATTAATTAATTTATTAAAAATATAATTCAGCAAAAAATGTCGTGGGGGTGGGGGAGAGTGGTGGGAGTAAATACTTTTTTTGATTGGTATATAAATATTTATAGAGCCGACACATCGTTTTCTTTCCCTTTCCGCATGAGAGAGTGTTTAGTGGAAGAGTCAAAGGGTCTGAGATTCAAAAGTAATCCATTCTTTGATTCTTAATAAATAAAATGAAAAATTAATCTCAAACATAGAGTATGGTCGAATTGAATCATTATGATATATGCTCCTTCCGTTAATGCAATTTTTTCAGGGGTTTGATATTTTAAAATGTAAAATATTTTTAATTTTTTAAAATATAATTATTATTTTTTTAAGGTCACTTTATATTTATTTTAAAATAAAATATCTTATTAAAATGAATAAATATAAAAAAATATGATTAATTTGGAGAAAAATAATTATATTATTAAGGGTGATATTTTGTAAGAATATACATATATGTTCCTCGTTTTAGCGTCTCCCACTTAATTTTCCCCTTCCTTCAACTATGATTTAGGAGGTCCACTTCACAAGTTTCACTATTTATCTTTATCATCATGTAGTTTGGACTAGTATTAAAAATGTATAGATTATTTTAATATATTGTTATTACACTATGATTGAAAGTTTTAAATTAAAGATGGTCATTTGAATAATTTAAAGACAAGACTTACTTGGAGAAAGATAAAACCTTGATTATAAACCTATGAATTGTTTATTATTTTTGCTATATAAAATAAATGTTAATCCTCAATCATTTATGACTATCTTACCATTCCTTTTTTTTTTAATAGCAAATACTACCTTACCATTCCTAATTTAGTTGTTTCTAACAAATATTATTTTATTATCGTCAAACATTTGCATTGACTTTTTGAATTTATCATTTTTATATTGTTAAATTATAAAATTATGTTAACTCATTCATAAACTCAAATTAAATGTGAATTCAGTTAAAGTCATGAGTTGACTTTTCAAATTTATCATTTTTATAATTTTAGCCTGCAAAGCAAAGTTGTCAATTAGAGTCAAGTTTGTTAGGCTAGTCTTTTTAAGTTCAAAAATAGCTAGAGCTAGGTCGCTACTTTAAAACAAAAAATGGTAATTCGGCTTGAAAGGACTAAAAGGATCAAACTTTTAGGGTTAGGCCCAGCCCTTTTAAGCCCTTTTATTATTATTTTTTAAATTTTAATATAAAAAATAGAAAATTAAATATATAACTAAAAGAAATGAATACCTTAGACTCATTTGTCCATTCCTCTTTCATTCATTAAGACTTAGCTGATAATGTTAGTTAAGTTTGTTTTTTATTGGTATTAATTTTGATATTGCTATTTAATATTAGATCTAGATGTTTAAGTTTTCTATATTTGTTGTGGTGTAAATTAATTTAAGTTTATTTTTCTAAATTTAATCTTATGTGTAATAACTTTTTGTAGAATTATAAATATATATTTTTAGAATTTTAAAGTGAAAAAAGTAAAAATAAAAAATAAGGTCGAAGCCTTGACGGCTTAAGGGCCACGGCTGAATCTTATAAAAGAAAACTTTGAGATATAATTGAGCCTATTAGGGTCAGTTTATTTAGGCCCTGACCTTTCAAGGGCTAGTCATAATTGACAGTTCTATATAAAATTGTATCAACTCACATAAAATTAGATTAGACACAAATTCAATTAAACTTATTAATTTTTTATCGAGTTGAGCAAGTAAAGTATATATTATGTAAAATTTGATTCAAAAAAGAGGTACAAGATTTGGTTCAAGTAAAAATAAAATTAAAAAAATTAAAAAATAATATTAATAAAATAAAAAATAAAAAATACAAAA